GTGTGTGTGTGTGTGTGTGTGTGTGTGTGTGTGTGTGTGTGTGTGTGTTTTAGCACGTGCATGTATACTTGGGAACCAGAGGTCACCAAGCCTCCTTAGTGGTTCTCTGCCTTATTTATTTTTTCTGTATATGTATCCCACATGTATGCAGTACCTCAGAGGCCAGAAGAGGGTGTCAAACCTTCTGGAACTGGAGTTACAGACTGCTTAGTTACCGCGTGGTTTCTGGGAAACAAACTCTTGTCCTTTTGGAGAACAAGTGCTTTGGTTGGTTGGTTTGGTTTTGTTTTTCAAGGCAGGGTTTCCTTGTGTAGCCCTGGCTGTCCTGAACTTGCTTTGTAGACCAGGCTGGCCTCGAACTCACAGAGATCTGCCTCCCTGAGTGTCATGCAGCAAGTGCTCTTAACCACTAATCCATCTTTCCAGCCCTTCTTCCATATTTTTTGAGACAGCATGTCTCTCATTGACTCTGGAGCACATTGATTTTGCTAGACTGACCTGCAAGCCTCCTTGCCCAGTCTTGAGGTGGCAGGTGAAAGCCATCTCATCTAGTTATTTTTACATAGGTGCTGCAGATCAAACTCAAGTCCTCGTACTTACAGATCAGCGCTGTACTCACTAAGCCAACTCCTCAGTCCCAGAACTAGTTTTAATAATCAAAATGACTAAGCAGAACCCCAATGTAAAAGTAGGTAATGCAATAAAGTTAGCCCTCTGTATCCATGGGTTCTGAATCCAGATTCAACCAGTAACAGATCAAAAATATTCAGGGGGAAAAAAAAGTTGCATCTGTTTTGAACACCTGATAATATTTGTTAGCATGAGTCGCTGATCAGTTGAGTAGAACAACTACTCACTCAGCATTTACATTGTATGAGGACAAGAAGGTATACGTAGTGCTTCCGTGTCCTTGGATTCGGACATCCAAATGGGATCCTGGAATCATCCGACCTCCGATACAAAAGGATGACTGTGTGAGAAGTGCCTTTCATCTAGGAGCAGTCTTTGCCAAGGGACATTTGCAACGCAAGGGTACTGCTGCCACCTAGTGGTGAGAAACCAGAAATGCCGCTGAACGAAGCAGAGCACAGAAAAATTAACCCAGCAGCTGACCAGCCCAAAACGTCAGCAGTGTTAAGGTAGAAGAATCCTGCTAGAGGCGGCTAATAAGTTCCCATTTATATCTTCAGCTCTCTAACTCAGTCGAAAAGACAGTGTAGGTGAACACAGGCATTTGAAGTGGTTGGGTCGCGGCCACAGTGCTGGCAAAGCTTTACACTTGGCTCTGCTGTCTGCCATGTGTGTAACACTGAGTCCTAATTTGTACAGCTAAGTGGTTGCAAAAGGAATGTCTTTGCTTTTGGCTTCTTTTAACAGCTTCATGGCTCAGTCTCTAGCTAATATTTTATCTGGGCTGCACAAGGCCAAAATTAATTTCAGTACTCAAATCAGCCCTGCCTGGTGTCTTGAGTATGGTGTTAGCACAACTGGATGTAGGTAATTTGCTTATTAACGTTTTTATTCTGCTTAAAAACGTGTGAACCAAACATCTTGAAATGCTTCTTAACATTTAGGTTGTATTTGGAAACTACTTCTCTGGGGCTTAATAGTAAGTAAGATCTGTCAAATTAATACAAATGGTCTTCATGAGTGGCCAGAGATTTAAGCCCACTTCCTGTATAAGGACTCACAGGTTCAACAGCAACCATTACATTGCAGGTGCCTGACTTCAAAGAGACAGAGACAAGACCTGTAAAAGCTGCAGCCATACCTTCATTTCCTATCACTCTCCCTATGCAGTACTTCCTCATTTTCCCTTTAAATTCAGAGTATAGAATTACATTGTTATTCTCAGAACTTAGCATAAAGATACACAAAGCAAAACAGGCCTGCGGTGAGCAGACTTCCTAAATGATATGAATGGAGTTGAAAATATGAGGAGAGTAAAGCAGAGTGGACAGGTAGAATGGGGCAGGAAGGGACTACCTTTTGTGAAGAAAGGTCTGATCGAATGAGAGATAAATACATAGCAGTTTGTGAAAGAACATTCTGGAACTGGATGTAATGATCAAAAAGTGGGCCTCTTATTTAAGCAAGAAAGAACATTCTGGACCACAAGTACAAAGGCCTTTGATGCGAGAGATAACGTGTAAGAAGGCAGAAGTGAGGCTGCTAACACAGAAGGCAAGAATCAGTGGAAAATGCTGAGCAGTGCAGCCATGTGACCTGGCCTACCCTGGAAACTTCGTCCTGGTGCCACAGTGGGAAATGGCTGTGGGGGGAGTGTGAAGTAGGGAGGCCAGTTAGGAAAATGGAGTGGTAACTGTTGAGGTGCTAAGAAACAATCAGATCTGGGCACGTTTGGGAAGCTGGCATCACAGGATCTGGTGACAGACCGGATACGGAAAGTGAGTGAAACAGTTAAGTGTGAGTCCCACGGTTTAGGCCTAAGTCACTGGATCTATGGCGCTATCAGGTACTAGAGCAGAAAGGAGTTTGGGAAAGGGACAGGTTAAGGGCAGAAACCAAATGTTTTCTACATAAATTTACCACAAATCAGGATGTTGAGAAAGTATTTGAAAATTCCAAACTAATGCAGGGGGAAATGTGGCTACAGATACAGCCATGAGACTAAAGGCTCAAACATTAAGTAGAGTTTGTTTGTTTGTTTTAAATAAGTAACATTTTAAAATTTATTTTCTGCTTACAAAGTAGCTCAGTTCATGTCACTTTCCTGCAAATTCTGCAAAGTGTACAATATCAATACTCCCTCACCGCAGTTAAGTCTGGTGTATATCCTTCAAGCCTATGAGTTTGTGTGTGTTGACTAGATTAGGATGACATTGTGCTGTTTGTATGTGTGCTTTATTCTCTTTTCCACGTGGAACAGTTCCTGGCATTTGTTTTTCGTACATTAGAAAGTGGATGCTCTGGGGAAGTGTACCACGGCAAATGTGTAGCAACCAGAGACCTTGCTGGAGTCTGTTTCTCCTTCCACACTGTGGGCTCCAGGAACGTCAGGCTTGACAACAAGAGCTTCTCCTATATCATCTCACCAGCCCAGGAAGCCATTTCCCCAGTATTTCCTCCTCCAGCCTTATCTCTGTCTTACAAATATGTGTTTATGCTCTTGACTTACTATCCTTTTAATCTGTTTAGCTTAGTCAAACATAGCACTTTTTAATACTTCTCTATACACTTACCATGGCAGATTTTTTTGGTGTGTTTTGAGGCAAGTGTGTCACTGTCCAGCCCTGGCTTGCCTAGAATGGCTGTGTAGACCAAACTGGTCTGCAGTTTGCAGCAATTCTACAGCCTCTGCCTCCCTGGTACTAGGATTACAGGTTTGCAATCATGCCTAGTATAAGTGGTAGAATTTTAAGAATTTTTTTTTCTTTTGTAGATTATGTATTTTTTTCTTTATGTTTAGACACTCTTTACCTAACCCAAGATTCTGCAAATAATTCTTGAAAGTTGCATTTAAAACATAAATATATATGCAATTTACTGGGTTGTAATTTGAGTTGGAAACTCATTTTTTTTACAGTTATGATACATTTTTTTAACAAGTCATTCATGATTCCCCCTCCCTGAATTGAAGAGACATCCTGATGGAATATTGTTTGCCATTTGGTTGTGTTGGGTTGTTGTTTTGTTTGGTGTCATGAATTGGGATCTCACGTTCTTTTTCCAGACAGTTACTATTGCTCCATAAATAGCTGTTATCCAGGGTTTCACACTTCTTTAACAGTTACAATAGACTCCCAGGCGCTCTCCCAGGTTTTCTTTGCAGGACGGTGTTGATGGTGAGGAGAGTCACACTGCCCCTTTGTAATACTGAACTTTTAACTGCCTTGCCACAAAGGTCCCGCGTGATATTGAACAAAGCGAATGCCTTTTTCCCCTTCCTTATTGAACAGTAGCAGTGACCGTCATCTCTGTTTGTTTTCCCTAGATCTTTGTACCTTAATTAAACGGTGCCCCAACCTTGTCCGCCTCGACTTAAGGTACCATTTGTTTTAGATCAAAATTTGGAGTATGTTGGTTGGTTGTGAAATGGGGAAAGAACCAAGTGGCGGAGTTAGGCAGGAGCCCTCTCAATCGATTTGTGGTTTGACTCTTTCTTCCTTTCTGTTACAGTGACAGTATCATGCTAAAGAATGACTGCTTTCCAGAATTTTTCCAACTCAGCTACCTCCAACACCTCTCCCTTAGCCGGTGCTACGACATAATACCTGAAACTCTACTGTAAGTATGTTTTACATTTGTGCTGGCAGAAAGCAGGGACCAACGCTCAGTGAAATCCATCCTAATCGATGTCCACAATGAAAATATTAATGTTAATATGCCATAAAATGTTTAAGAAAGAATATCAAAGTAGTTCACAGAGTGCTTGCTTAAAATGCCTGGTAATCAGGCTGGAGAGATGGCTCAGAGGTTAAGAGCACTGACTGCTCTTCCAAAGGTCCTGAGTTCAATTCCCAGCAACCACATGATGGCTCACAACCATCTATAATAAGATCTGGTGCTCACTTCTGGTGTGCAGGCAGAATAATATGTACATAATAAATAAATAAATCTTAAAAAAAATATTTAAAAAAAATGCCTGGTAATCCTGAATAAACTGAGCTCATTAACATTTATTATTTGGCTGTCAGCATCATGGTGTTAGAATGCTGTCCTACTACGTGAAGGACTTCCAAAAGGAAGCTTTACCTCTAAGGCCCTCTCACTGTGAGCATGGAAGGCACACCCAGTGTGAGCGGGATTGATTGTCTCAAATGTTTCAGGCTCATTCTTAAAGCTTGTGTCTGGGCTTACAAGAGAAGTTCTGTATTATCGTGATGAGTGTTCCAGATGGTCAAGGAAGGTAAGGAATTGGCATGTGTATATGAAAGTCTGATGCTATCTGAACAGAGGGTATATTGTGTAGGTCCATGAACGTTAAGAATCTTATCCAGTCATTGCTTATTTCATGTAAAGGGCTAGAACAGTCTTCCTTAGACCAAATATAAATGCAATTTCACTGAAAACCACAAGAGGTCAGTATCTTACACTTGCTCTTGTGCCCTTTCTACTGCGCCAAGGCCATGTGACTGTTGAACTGTTTATCTTGCCTTCAGAATGTCAGTAATAATTCTTCTATCTAAAAATGGTGAATTTGGAGGAAGAAAAAAAGTTATTCCTCAAATGAATGGATTAGATCATACAGTTTCAATACTAAGTGATCTCTAGAGAGTTCAGTAAAATTAGAAAGTCTGGTCATTATGTGACTGAGTTAATCTTTTTAACTAGTCTCATGACCCTTAGCTAGTATCCTGTTTGGGAAAAAGTACTACCTAAAAAAGATGACTTTACTTGTATGTCTTAGGGATTGCAGCTCAAATTCATATGCATGGAACTCTGATAAAAATCCCTGCTTGCCTTTTCTATCATCCAGAACTCCTAGGATCTTCTAGTATCTACGCAAAAGGGTTTCTCTCTCTTCCATTACTGCCATCTGGGCTCCTCATCTGCCTGAGCAGCTCCGTGGGAAGATTCTTCTTTTCTGGTTTCTTTTCTCAAGCAAATCTGTGAATCTTCCCTTTGTTCCTTTGGTGTTTAAAAAAAAAAAAAAAAAAACTAAGCAGTACTTAAATGCTTGCTTTTCCTCTCGCAGAGGCAAGGGGAAGGCTGTGATCCCTCACATTCTGATTGTTTGTATCCAGTGGGATCATGGTTTACCTGTGTAGTTGAAGAGCATGAGGCTCAACCTAGGTGTGAACCTCTTCATAATCAATTAATACTTGTCAAAATCTGATCATTAAATAAGTAAGGCCATCAGGGGCTTTAATTTCCCATCAGAAAAGCAGGGTAGAATGAAAACGAGATGACGTTGTCCTGAAACATTGGTATGGTTCTCTGAGCATCATGTAAATACTAGTGATTATATTGAAGATCTTTTATCCTGAAATCATTGGTGTCATACTTACAATGAGTCTTTCCAGCAACTAATGCATTTGAAGTTCATAATAGAAACTCCAGTGTGTCTCAAGGACGCAATCCACACAACAGCCCTCTACACTGAAAAGTAGTTGATGTCTTATCTTAAAAGTGAAAGTAACCGTGTGAGTCTTTGAGAGCGTTCTAAAATATTTCAGAAACCTTCAAGTTCCCCACCCCCGCAGGCTCTGCTGTATTTACTTTTTCCGTAATTGGTCTCATCTCCAACTGAATTTTTTTAAGTATTCCCTGTTTCTCATTCCATGATAAGGCCAAGTTGGAGAGAAAACTTATTTGAAATTGAGAGTTAACATTCACTAGGTAAGGCATTTTGGCGTTATATAAAGGGAAATAGGATTACATAGCTGGGGTACGGCGCAAACCTCGGAGCGTTATATAAAGGGAAATAGGATTACATAGCTGGGGTAAGGCGCAAAC